CCGTTTGTAAACAGATACTGCTGAGAATTTCATTCACTTTTTAAAACAATGGCCAATGTAAAATCTTTTCCCTAAAATCATAATAATAATAATAACAATAATTTAATTATACTGATAAAGAAATCTACATAATCTGCATATCTGAATGGTGACATTTTTTTGAGAACACAATTTAAATCGGTTACAATGTATTTTAAACTGACCATGATTTAAAAAAAATTAATAAAAATTTGTCGCTTGTAAAGAAAATGATGATTTTAGAATTTCAATACGTTCTACTATGATACATAGACTTTTTTTTGAAGACAGTTATAAAAGTCAAAAAACAAAACGAACTTAGTTTCACTGACATTTTCTAATTTTCTCATCTCCTGTCATTGATGAGTGAGTTACATAGAACCAGACGTCAGAAAACAGTCACTCATGTTCATGCCATACATGACAAGCTACTTAGTTCGAATAGAATGTGTTTACTAACTGTCAGTTAATAGATGCTTTTAGTTGAATTCTGCATATTATTATACTACATAGAATTTACAAACGTTTTATGTATTCACACTGGTTAACAAGACATACTGATTTTTCTTCACCTTTAAAATTACTAATCTATGATAAATGTCAGATGAATCTCATACATGATTGTACTACATGTAGTAGTTTTCAGTTATTGGTTTTGTCATAATGTGTATTTCATGTATTTTACGAAAATGCAAAATGATTACACTCATGTCAGTACATTTAAAATATATGCACAACTTCAATAACGTACATAATCTGGTGACGATTGTTTGATATTTTTTAGGAACATTTATGCAAGGAAAGTTTCTTCTGGTTTATGAGGTGAAGATAAAATTAGAGTATCCTACACCGGATATGCTTTTTGGCGAACTCATCTGGTGTTCCAATCTAATTCATATAAGTATAGTCTATGTCATCATGTAGAGTAACATCACGGACTGATCTTAGGTGAACAATCATGGAAACTAGTTGTTAAACGCTTGTTGCTTGTCAACGATTGCACACTAAGATTAGTCTATAAGGTTATTTATAATGAATAATGTTGTTTCGAAGTTATCAATATAATCGCAGAATTGTGTCTATCAACAACTAATTTTAATGAAATCAACAGTAGTTCAACAATTCAGGGATGAAGTAATCTTACTTCGATTGAATTATATAACGTTTAGTAAGAGATTTTGACTATTTTATTTATTTTCGATTCAACCAAAAAAATTAAACACAAATCTTTCACTTATTCATAATTTCAATAATGATTTAATGAGGTCATGGAAATATTCTCAGCTTTCAAATCTCGTCATTTCTAGTACGTTAGAAACAGTCACCTATTGCTTTGCGGTAATCAAATTATTGATTTCGAGTTAGACGTGTTAGACGTGACGTTTCCATTGATTTGCATTTTAGAAAAACGGTAGAGGATGATTTCATTGTATAATCAATTTTACTAGAGAAACTTATCGAATGTTTTAGTTAGTCCTAACGTGAAGGACCTTGTTTGTAGCTAAAGTTCATTTTACTTATTTATGACACATTGATTTGTATTAACTCATAAAAATCGATAGTTATTTTTTGTTTTCAAGGTGCATGGAACTTGAAAAATAAAATTAAGAATAACCGAATCTATCAAATCTGAGTTTGTGACTGTTTTTTTAAAATATAAATTTGATTGTCTGATAAAATATTTATAATATTTCGACATGCAAATCTGTTCAAACTCAAATCAATACTTTCAACCTAAAATCTTAGTCTATTTCTAATGCAATCTAATAGAAAAACTAGTCAATCTAAAAAATGTAGGCGTTTATTTCAGATAACGGTTTACTAAAGAATGATTACTGTCTATCTAAATGACTTTTAGGCAATAATTTAATCTTGAAATCCCTCGAATACTGGTTATAGTCAACACTAACTACCTACAGAAGAACTTTATGTAAATAAACGAATGAAGTGACCATGATATCTTCGGTGTCTCCAACCAAGTGTTGCTAAATTATTTATGTCCCATACTTAGTAGAGTATTTTTGCCAATAACACCAGCCCATAATACATTTGGCTCAGATATTCAGATAACACGTTTGTCATCGTTTAAAAGACACCCTGGAAAAGCCATCATCCAGAAGATACAAGTATTTATGAACAGTTGTCTTCGCAAAATACTTCGGATTCGTTGGCCAGACACCATCAGCAACAATCTACTGTGGGAGAGAACTACCCAGATTCCAGTGAAATAGGAAATTAGGGAAAAGCGGTTGAAGTGGATAGGACACACTGCGGAAAGCACCAAAATGCGTCACCAGACAAGCCCTGACATGAAACCCTCAAGGTCAAAAGAAAAGAGGAAGGCCGAGGAAAACATTACGCCGAGAAATAGATAAAGATATGAGAAGAAGAATGAACAAAATCTGGAAAGAACTAGAAAGGGAAGCCTAGGACAGAGTAGTTTGGAGAAAACTGGTGGGCGTCCTATGCTCCATTGTGGGTTTCAGGCGTAAGTAAGTAAGTAAGTAACATATATATATATATATATATATATATATATATCAGTAGATTGATCTTAACTGTATGCATTTATTCAGTAAGAAAATGTACGTAGCAGTAAATCTGTTCAGAAAAGCTACAAATATTATTACTTCAGAAGATCAGAAAAAGGAAAAAAGGTAATGTAATGAAAATTTCACAGTTTAATAATTCTCCTGTGAATAGTATTTATTATTATTATTATTATTATTATTTGAATAGTATTTAGACATTTATAATTGAAGCTTACCGTGAAATACCTACCAAATGCTTTTTTGGAATTAAAGCTAGAATCCTTTTTACATCTGCATAAAATTGTGTGAGAAAACTAGGTTTCGCTGATTGCTATGCGTTACACTTTAAAGAGGGGGACCTCGACTCATACCAAAGAAAACTCAAACTACACAAAAAGTTCTAACAATCCTGTGAAGCTGAAAAGTTTACAGCGTAAATCGGGAATAGCGGCAAATGCTATTTTCAATGACCACCAAATCTATATTCAAAATATTAAAATAATCCAGAAAGGCTTTACCAGCCATAAAGAGAGCCAGGTGACCGTAGTATTTCTTATGATGCTAATTCCCTCGGATCTAAGAAGGAAAGAAGGTTTGACTGTCCATTTTTACCTGGACTATTCTCCCAAACAATCACATTTGACTGCATTCATTTGTTTCGCAACTCGACTGACAGGCACAAATATTTCTTCTAAATTGTTTTTAAAACTTCATTACTTTGTGTTACATACAGCATATTTTTCCTACCTACTATCGTACATACGAATAAACGTCCAATCATCTTGACCAAAAAACAATATCAAACTGATATATTCGGATCTATCACGACTATAATTTCACTACAGTTATTCCTTCTTGTTTGTTTGGTACTTTAATTCTGAAGAAGTGACTTTTATTGAAATCAAGAAATGTTAAAAATTTTAATTTCTCATTTGTATTTCGTCGAAATGTAATTATTTAATTGTTAATGTTTCACATTAATTTCAATGTGTATATCTATGTGTTTCACTTGAGGGTTTTAATTCAATTAGTGGTCTCAATCAAGTGGCTAGTTTCAATTTGACCCTTTTCTTATCGCTAACTAGTAATCAAACATTGAGACAATGAATTAGTTTCATGAGACTGATCTTAGCTAAGCTTTTATGACTGTGTATAAAGTTTGTTTCAGAGGAATACTGAAGTTTGTTGAACCCTTAATCATACTGCATCTCCAAACCATTTGAACTATTCTCAAGCAATACACATTTACATTAAATCTATCCTGATAATATGGAAATTATTATCCACTCGTGTGACCAACAGTGATTTTCACATTGTCTAATTTGCACTGTAGTTTATCTACTTGATATTTGCTTTTCACATATAAATACCTTAGTAAATAAATGTATGATTGTATGGTTTTTAAATCTACTGTGCCAATTTATCACAGAGTTCTCAAAATCGTTTATTTCAGAATAATCTACTTCAGCGAAAGCACTTCACAGTTAAGAATTATGTTTCCAGAATGTTTTTATTTGAAAGTTAAATTCGTTCATAAAATTCCTAGAGAAAATTATTTCTAATTAAACTATTTCCATATCATTGGAGAGTCTGTTTTTTTTTCTTATAATAAAATTCTGTGATCGCAAAATATTATTAATCATTTTACGAGTTCTGTTTGGGACTAAGAGTACGATTAACATTCTAAAGTTCCATTTACAAAGAAAAACTGAATTATTAAATGTCGTAGATTTCAAAACTTATAGATTATGAGATATCTGGTTGAATTGCCAATAAAAAGCTAAAATATGATTTTGTTTAAAATAAATAGGGTAAGTCAATAATCATTGAGTGAATTTTTAATGTTTCAACTATTCATTTGAATGACATGTAATACACGAATTAGATTGCTATTTCAGTTTGAAGTTTGTAAACTTTTTTTCCCGTCAACAAAGGTAATCAGGTATTTAGACATAATTTCAGCAAAATACACACCTACCAACAAAGAATGACTCGGCATTAACATCAAAAAACGGGTTCTTCAAACACTTATGAAGTGGTATAAACATTTTGCGCGCAGGATAACACACCAAGAATTAGAACTCCGTAACTCAGTGGATAAGTGTTGACGTTGAAATAGATTCATACTAGGTTCAAGTCTCAGTTTAAACACCACGACTAAGATGTAGCCAAATCCTGATGAAAAGTCCCGAACAGAATAAACTAAAATCTGTTAGACACAATCCATTTATTCTCAAATATGTTTATATTCAACAATGGACACAATGTAAGGGAAAAATTGCATGTTCACCTATCTTTTTTTTCTATTTTATCACATAAACAAGGAAAAAAATTCCCGGTCTCTTTTCTTTTCTGTTTCTTTTTTTCCTACTTCCATTGTTCAAGCTTTGATGTTTTTCATTCTTGGTGATTTGTTATCTAATTGATGTTGAAAATTGTTTATTTACTAAACTATTAACAAAGGTGGTGAGTTGCTGAGTTTGTTTGTTTGTTTACCATACAATTATTATTGTTATTATTATTATTATGATGATTATTACAAGATGAGATGGATAAATTTTTCTCATCTTTACTGACTTAAAAGCAATTTTTCTCCTGTGAAAATCTTTTAGTCAGAAAAATTGCTCCTTTCACAACAACTCACATCCAACTGTCTCTGTTTTTAATTATTTGACACACATACACTCTGTCTCTCACCTTTTCAACTAAATGTTTTGTTTACATGATGCAAACTAAAATTTATATATATATATATATATATATATATATATATATTTATATGATATATTAATTAGTCTTCATCTTATTTTTGTAAACATTCATTATTTCATTAGCCTAAAACATCATGATGCTGTGTGAATGCATGCATTTACACATGTGCATGGACTGTAAGTGTTTACTGTTTATCTCAAAATAAACATACAAACAAACAAACAAAATCATAAATGATGTTTATCTCACATATTATAATTGTAGCTTTTAGTAAATCTAATTAACGGGAATGACTTTACACCGATGGTATAGAGATCAATGTAGATTTTGATTTTGACACGGAAATTAAATCCATTTTTAATTGTTCAACATGAACAATGTCGATGTTGTTGTTGTTGTTGTTCGTGTTGTTGACATGATTATGATTTTCATCACATTTTAAAAACGTTAACTAGCATTAATGCATTTTGTTTTTAAAATGAATAAAATCCAAAATGAAAGTGTTCAGTAATTAATGAATAAAGAATTTTAGTAATATTTTGTTTTTAAAAACATTCGTTTTCCTTGTAATATTAGATTAGAGTAGATTTTATTCTTAAAGACTAAACTAACAAAGATGCTGTTGATAATTTCTTATCAAAATAAACAAATTATTTATGTATAGGAAAAGTAATAAATATTTATATATGTATTACTGTTTTAGAATAAGTTCCATTGAAATGATCAAATAGACTTAAGATTCAACCAGTTTAGTTCATGTGTACCAGTTCAGTAACAAGTTATCTAGTACATGAAAGTAAATTCAAATGCTTCAAGCATGCCATTCTATCATCTTATCTTATGGGCTTGTATTTTGGTGCCGACTTAAGAAAGACAATTTCTTTCAGCAACAACATTCACGATATCATACGTCTTCTAATTCACAGGAATATAACAATGATAGTCATGAAAATGTTACTCATCAGGCCAATGAAACTAATCTAGGTATTCTTCACTATACTAACACCAATTCTAGAAGATTATGATTTATGGAAAAAGTGTGCAGTGTTTCATGCACATTGAAAAAGTTTTAAAAAATTTCCTGAAACGAAACAAACAACAAGAACAACAAGATTTTGAATTAGTCGAATGTAAATTCAATCGTTTCAGTAATGTTCATCAGAATACTACTTCTCATACTACTGATGATACTAAAGTGATGAGTGTTAGTAGTATGGTGAATAGCACTGAAATTAATGGCGATGATGATGGTTATGATGGTAGTCATCAACATCGCCATAAAGCTGTCAATAAAAATAATCCCAATACTGAGTATGATATTGTAAATCTCGATTTCAGTAATTATAACGACACTCCCTTAGTTCAGTGGGATGATGTCATGAATAGTGGTCAACATTTATTGAAATTATCAAATAGAAATACGATTGAACCAGTTTCGTTCATGTGCACTGGTTGAATAACTAGTGTTCTAGTACATGAAAGTAAATTCAGACACTACAAGCCTGCCATAGAACAGTTACATTTTAATCTTATTAAAGATTTTGAGTATCATCAATATTTGTCTAAGCTGTTAAAATTTAAATTGATATGTTCTTTTGGATAAGTGACTTTTCAATTTTGCTCATAACAACTAAACACTGTAGTAAGGAGATATTTAATCACTTAACTAGAAAACAACAATCTACGTTTATTCTATTCAACCATTTTTCAGTTCATCTGAAAATTAATATTTATAAACTTATCAAATGAATTATGTAATGAAAATTTTTATGGGACAAAATTGTTAATATGTTAACTTTTTAACTAGTAAAATTCTTGATAACAATAAACGTTAAACCAGCTTTAACGTATATATGTTTATGAGTCCTATTTTCAACTTTTCTTGTGTTTAAAATATTATCCCATAATATAATTTCGATTCATATGAATATTTGAGATTACTTTGTTTATTAAGAAAAAATAAACTAAATTTATTTTCATTCTGCGGTTGTGGAGATCATTAAGTTATTTTTTTGAAATCATGAATCGATCAATGTTAGATTACTATTGGAAACCTGAAAGCATTGGACAGCTGTTTCGTCCTGGTATGCGATTCATCAGCAGTGCGCATACTTGACTGTTAAGTACTTCCAAGTTTCTAACGGTGGTCTAAACTTGATCGATTTATGATTTCAAAAAAGTAACACAGCAATCTCCACAACCCCATCACTAGTAACTAGCTACGTGAAGAATCTTCCCCCAGTCCTAGTGAAAAGTCGTCATCGGTAGAGTGCAACCCTGTTCTAGTGTGAAGCAGTGCCCACCGAAGACAGTGTTTGAGGTTGAGTTGATAGAAGTTAGAAATTAACAGCGTCAGGTACTGGCTCAATGGTCATGAGGCTAGGCATTTTTGCGCAAGACCGATGGTCCTGGGTTCGAATCCTGCTAGGTACAGATGTTGTGGATGCACACTGCACTGCACAATCATAAAGGCTTAGTTAACATTGGTTTCATGAAACTAATCTGTTGTCTATATGTATGACTGCTAATCATTGATAAAAAAAGGGTAATAATAAAACTAGCCACTAATTGAAGCCACTAATTAAATTAAAACCCTTATATGAAACATATAGATATACAGTTTGAAATTTATGTGAACCAATGTTAATCAACTAATCAAATGTTGATGATATCCGAATGAGAAGAAATTGGAATTTCTAACGTTTCTTGACTTCAATAAAAGTCACTTCGCCAGAGTTAAATAAATAAATGCCAGAAACACCAATACAATTTCAATGTATGTTTCTTTAATAGCCCCATATTTTAATATTTTCTTCTGTTCAAACTATTCTCCCATAATATCATTGAATTTAGATTGACATGGAGATTTAACATATTTTGTTAACATAATTACGTGTTTTTCAGTGTTTTTGATTTTACTTAAATTATTACTCCTCATAGTGTACAATTAATACCAAAAATTACATTTGTTATCATGAATTTAAAAAAAAACGGTAATAGTTAAATGAGAAATGTTTTTTCACTAAAAATAATCGTCTAAAATGTAAAGATATTAAATTTTTTTGATGACTTTTTCACACATAATAAAAATGAATATATGTGTGTTCATATTCACATTTGTAATTCTTGCCGAAATTTCCTAGACAAGCAAATCACATGTTCATTTTTAACTAAATAATGAAACTACAGTGTGATACACTGTTTTTTACGCAGCATCGGAAAATAGTAGTTACAAAGCTATAAACAAGTCCTAATATAAGTATTTCAATATTTGTTTTTTGAAACTTCTCCTTATTCTGTACTAATAAAATATACATTTTCAATTGATGGCTTTAACGAACTAATAGTAAACACTCTGTTTCATAATAGAAGCCTTTAATTTTTGGCGAATTTCATGTTAATTTTCATCAAATTTAACTGAGAAAAACTATGTGTGAAGTTAAATATCCGAAGTTCCGAAAAAAAAACAAATTCAAATTATCCATTTCATCTGGTTTTGACTCCAGTTAATAGCTCTATGTCAGTCAGTCAGTCAGTTGCAACGTAGAACTTCGTACGTATGTACATAAGTTCATGTTGCCATATCACATTAGCACAGAGACGCAAGTGTCAAATCAAATCCGACAGTGATAAGGATAGTAGAGGTATTAATGGTAATGAAGAAAACTAGAGATTGAAGATATTATTCAAGAAGTATAATTCAGTGAGATAAGGTTAGAAAGACAAAGGTAGATGTGCTGACGAATCTAGAAGATTAGGATTTGAGAGAGCACAACGAATGGATGCACTTGCGCCATTGCAAACGATTTCGAGCCATGTCGTTCAAGGTCTCTAACCGTTGGTGGCTTTCGTCTTGCGTACCCCAACCAGATAACTTGCATCTACCAACATGACTCAGTCCACTTGTCAGTGACTTCATGGATTTGTGCCATGTTTAGGTTTGGCCGCCCCTAACTTTCTTCCAACCTACTCCCGTACCACAAAACATAGCTCGTCGAGGCAGTTGGTGGTTAGGCATACGTAACTTATGTCCCAACCAACTCAACTGATGAAGTTTCACTACTTCATCTATTGATCTGCCATCCTTACCTAGCACCCGTTTCCTAACGACATCATTGCTTACTCGGTTGTCCCACGGTATATTAGCAATGCTTCTAAAACATTTATGATCAAAGAATAGTAACCTGCGAATGTCCTCTACTCTTAACGGCCATGTTTCGCATCCATATAGTAAGACAGAATGAACTGCTGCGCAGTACACTCGTCCCTTGGTTAAAGAGCGGATATCTCGCCTGCGCCATGAGTGACGCAGGTTGGCAAAAGCCAGTCGAGCTTTCTGTATCCGTGCTGAGATTTCGTCAGTCACCAGGCTATCAGCGCTGATGAGACTCCCCAGATAAGTGAAGCGGTCAACACGTTCGACTACTTCACTCCCTACCACTAGTTCCGATGCAACCCAATCTTGAAGCAACATTTTGCATTTCGAGGGGGAGAACCGCATGCCGAACATGCTCGCATTGTTGCTCAGGGTGGTCAGAAGACTCTGCATTTTGTCACCGTCTTCACCGAATAGAACTATGTCATCGGCATATTCTAGATCAGTAAGCGATTTTCCTGGTAGAATAATAGCTCTATGACAATCAAAATACTTGGATGTTAGATTTGTTTTAATGTTAAAGAAAACACTTAATAATCAAAGTAATAAATTTTATCGGTGAAATTGAAATCATCCTCTAAATAATGATTTTCATTTTGTCAACTAATTTTATGGATGGAGTAAATGCAACAACTACTGATGAGAATGCATACTGAACTGTGATATTTGGGTTTCTCTTTTCAACATGTCTTTATATGCAGCATTTAGGTTATTAAACAAATCACCTGACCAACAGTGAACGAGATAGTATTTCATTCTGAAATGAACTCATACTAAATGAATGAATGATTAGAGGGTTCATTTTAGAATTAAATAGGTAACTATAAACAATAAAGAATTTTTTTTGGATAGAGTAACTGTTTATTATTAGTACAGTATGTTGTGTTGTCCTTATTGTAGATCATATTCTAACATTAAAATAACACTGTATCAAGTTGTCTTTGTGGTCACACTTTGTAGTCCATTTCGAATGATTTTTTTTGTAGCTAAAGTAAATCAACAAAGAGCTGTGATTATTAAGTTACTTAAGCGAAGTGCTCATTATCTAGAATTATGTTTAATTTTTAAATCAATATCACTTAGTTTCTTAATCAATCTGAATTAAATGGATTGAAACTAACTTTCTAAGTGACATATTATTATTTGCGTGCACTAATCATTAGTTTTATGTAACCAACATTCTAGTGTGAACCGAAATCTGTTGAAATTATTTGCGGTGCTGATTGAGATAGTTTGCAGTTAATTGATGGTTGCCATAACAACTATTGTAAAAAACTGCAAATTTTTACCGGGAAGAAATATTACCATCAATAGTCGCTAAAGATTAACTCACTAAACATTCACAAAATGTGTTTAACGCGAAATTAAAAATACTATGGCTAGTCATTTGTAAAGCTCTTTAGTTTACTGAATAAAATGCTGTATTGTTCAACATAGTAGTGACCATGGTCATTTAATATTCAGTCTGCAGTTTGATATGCAAACATATGTGTACGAGATAATAAACTTTCTTTTTAAGAGGTTATTCATACTTACTGCGTTATAATCTTACTAGTGATGTTATCTTCAAAATTTGGATTAATCGCATAACCTCAGACTACTGATCGTAGACAAAGATATTACTTACGTGCAGTTATAATTCATTATTCTGTTCAAACTAATAAATCATGAACTTTTCACTGATGAACCAATAATTTCTAACCTAAATTAGGCAGGTAGTTGTTATAAAAATAATCAGTAATTTAATGTAATTTCCAATTGTTATCGCTTAAGTAAATGAAAAAAAATGAGACTAAGGAATAAAATTTTGACTAGTCATCTAAAGTTCTAAATATGACGTGAATCAATAGAAGTTCCCTTCAAAACATATGATACATTCTAAAAGATTGGATTGAAAATTAATTATTTTCTTACGTGATAAGTTATTATTAAACAAAAAACGCTTACAACACATACTAATCATCAGTTAAGAATCATTTAATTTGTTAAGAAGTAGTACTCATATGAAAGGTTACTTCTCAATCTCATTTAACAAAAATACAAAACATTAAGCTTGATAAAATATTAAAATATCAATATTAATTCTGCTAGTTCGTTTTGTTTGAAAAATTAGAGTATAAACTGTCAAGTCGCTAATATTTATCATATTACATATGTTATTCAATTTCAAAATTTATCGAAATGCATTTTGAATTTTAGCTACTGATTTTAATGAGTATAATAACTTGTAAAAATTCGAAAACTTAATTAAAAAGGATTGCTTACTAGATGAAAAGATGTTGATTTTTAGCTAAAGTCGTAATAAAATCTTAGAGAACTGATTTATGAAAAAAATTATTTATTAGTGATCATTTTTCTTATAAGCAAACAAAAGAAATTTAGTTCAAATTTATTTATAAAATACATTTCTTAGTAAAATATTTTAATTAACGAGACACATAATTAATCATAAAAAAATTTTGGGAAATAAATTTGTTGGAGTATAAATGCTTATTTTTTTGGATTGAAAGTTTTTTAAAGAAGATAATTGATAGTATGAGACGATTTCGCTTAGATAATCATTGAAGATCATGTTGTACTAAGTGGATTAATTCGTAAGTTAAATACTTTTGCAGAATAAATTTATTAACATTTGAACACCATAATGAAATCACAATGAAGTAGGCCAAAGTATATGAAATAAAACGAACTGGTCCCTTTCATATATTTTGATAGAATAATAATAAAAGGACTGAGTAGAACTTAAAATATGAAATGTTCTTGAGCCATTTGTTTTGAAAAATCTGTTTGTATACTCTCCAACTCAGTGATACAAGTCAAATAATCGAAAGTCTCATTCCTGTTCACACTGAATAATTCTGTGCAGTGAAGTGCAAAAATCAGCTTAACATGTTTCGGATACGAAGCATTTATTATCAACAATATATATATATATATATATTAAAGATATGGGTCACTAAAAATATGCAGTAATTAACTCTGATCGCTTTCATGTGCGAAGAAGTTCAAAATAAATAATAGATGATTTCAAATTCGCCACCTTTTAATGAATTAAATCTCAATTAGGTATATACGTTTTAAGTTGTTTTAAATTCAGTTTAATAATACCTTCAATCACTGAATGTATATAATATAGGTAACATTTTATTCGGCTGCATTTTTTTCGAAACTCGCTGACATTTCACAAAATTCAGACTTCACAATAATCTATTATAATCCGAATAAACATAATTAGTTAACTGATATTGTAATGAAGGAGAACACAGGTGAGGGCAACCGAATTGTATTTAATGAAAATTACAGAGTTACTCAGTAAAATAGGAAAACCATATCGTAAATCGTTAATTTGCAAATCTTCAATCCATCATCAATCCATTGTCTGAAATTTCACTATTCATGCGTTTCATACAAATTCCATTGTGTTCCCACTCTTCCTTTCTTGATCTTCTCCCATCTTCTGCTGCCAGACATTACGTTTACACTCGCGTCATATACTACTTATAAGTAGCGCGCACCACAATATGAATTAAAAGTAAATTTCTGATAGATTCCAGTTTCATATTTTAGTATTCAATAGAGAAAAACAAATTATATTCACATCGAATAACTAAGTGTGTCTCTACAACAGTAAAACGAAACCATTTTCCATATGTTCATTTTAAGTACTTCAATTCCACGTACATTAGCTGACCACAGAACTAGCGATATTTTGTTTCTTTTTTTCATTTTAATATATAGATTTCATTGATTTTCATGTTCCACTAATCAATACTCATCTGGTTTTCATTTAACTACAACTAATAACCAACCAGTTATTAAAATTTCACAGTCAAACTTAGACGCCATTAAAATTCCATTTTTTTTTGTAAAGTAAAACGCCATGAACATGAAACAGAATAAATAATTTTTTTTTTCTATTCTGATCATTTGTAATCGGTCATTTAAACATTGTTTGTACAACGCTAATTTTACCTACTCACGTTTTCGTGTTTGTTTTGTTTTTCTGAAATATTGACTCGTTTGCTTCTTTTTGTAGGACACAAAAAAAACGGTACGTTGACCATTATTCATTTCCTTACTTATGCATTACAAATTGCTTAATTTGTGTACAGATTGTACAATTTCAAACTATCAAATTAAAATTTTAATCATCAACAAATAAAATAAATAAATAATGAATTGGTTGATCTGTTATTGTGAATAAAAGAAAATTGAAACAAATGACCTTTCTGTTTTCATTCTTCACAACAAACTATGGTCGAAGCTGTGATTTTCTACATACTAACTACTTATATATATAAAATAAATTTCCTAAAACAACATAATTCAAAATCTCCAAAAACATTAATTAATCTTGCCTAGAATTGGTTCAAATGAATTTGTTGTTATTACAAACATTTTATTATTTGTTCAATCAAAATAAATTCAGTAAGTTTTAAAAAAAGATAATTTCGGTTTTGAAACCATGAATCGATCAGTGTTAGACTCCTCAGCAGTGCGCATCCACAACTCCTGCACCTAAAAGGATTCGAACGCAGGACCTTCGGTATTGTAGGCCATCCAGTGCTTCCAGGTTTCTAATGGTGATCTAAGATTGATCGATTCATGGTTTCAAAAATGTATAACTTAACAATCTTCACCACCCCGTAATGCAAATTTCGGTTTTATCATGCAAACTATGCAATTTAGTCACATTGTTAATAAATTAGAATTGAAGACAATGATTTATTTTAAAGGGTACTTAAAGAAATATGTTGAATCAAGTGACAAGAACTTTCAATTAACTTTCCTCTAGAAATAAAAAATCATGATTTCAGATTTAAAAAAAAAATTCATTTTCCAATTTGAATTATTTAAACATTGATTGAAGTTAAGTTGACGAAAGGAGTGGGTATTGCTGAAGGGCCAAAGAATTGAAATACATTTATGGAGGCGTTTATTATAATTCCTTAAGTGAATTAAGTTCATTTCAACCTAGTTTTGACACCTGTCGTTTGTTTGAATTTGACTATTTTCTGTATCCATAAGAAGACTACAAACGTATGAAGGTGATATTTAAGTGCTAATCTACACATGGTTTACAACTAACATAATGCAAGCGTTCACTTATTATCATCAAACAGATACTCACAAAATCAAAAAATGGTAGTTCCATGAAAACAAGAATTTAAAATATTTTGTAGCCTGGTTACAGTTCTTTAAAAGTAAGCAGGATCTAAACATGAAAAATCTTTTTGAGTTGTTTCATAAAGTTCTTTTACATAGAACTCTAATTCAACCAATCCACTTTTGGAATAATATAGGCTCATAATTAATGTACGTTGTATAAAGTAGGTTGCTCTTTTGAACAGATATAACATAGATTTAATTCAATAAAGTCGACAGGCGTAAGTAAGTAAGTAAGTAAGTAAGTTTTCAAGGAAGTAATAATTAAAAACTACAATATTTCATATAAAATATAAAGAAATAAAAACACGAAGTATTCTCTACAATTATTCATTTCCATCTAATATTTAAAAAAAATTAGAAAAATTTGTTTATCAAAGCACAACATTTACATAGTCTTCATACTACCGATTATGTACTGTACACATTGAATTAATTTACAGAAGCTCTATATAAAATACTAATTTTAACAAGAACTTACTTACAATTTGACAAGTGGTTCAATAAGCTTGTTAACCAGGAGGCATATTAGTAAATATTTATATATATTTATACATTAATAAATTGTTTATATATATATAAATATATATATATATATATATACAGCTTTTATCAACTAAATTATTTTATAATAAATAATATACCGTTAACATCTTTTTTTTCATACACATAACTCTCATAAATAACCAATGAAATTCAATTTTCCCAAATTATGTATTTCTACTGGTTGTTTAACAGTGGAAGCAGGATATAATAAAAGGTTTTCAATAAATGTAATTTATTTAAAAAGCATATTGAAATTATGCAAAAATTGTATTCATTGTTATCATTGTATTGGATAGAATGGAAATTAGTGTATTTAATTATGGTAACATATATATCTTGAACAAATGCAAATCATTTCTCTTTTTATTTTTAGGATTATCAGGTCTAATTAAATTGTCTTAAGAATATGCATTTTGAAGTAAAAAGAAAAATGGCAATGTTGTAGACAATAAACATAATTGCATTAAATCATTTGGAATCTTGTGGAAGAATAATTTGATTTACTCAAATAATACCCAGATTTTATTTTTTTAAAAGGCTGAATAAACAATCTAGAAATATGAAAACATTGTAGTAGCAAAAAGTAAAACAAAATGCGGGGAAAACAAACGATGCAAAAAAAAATTACTGTACCTACCAATGAAATGATATTGTCCATAACAGAATTTTTAACTTAATATATAACATTTTTGGAATAAAAATAAGACATGTTATTTAATCAGTGGGGTCTAGACATATGTCTCATTAAAATATGACTTCTTTGACAATATATGACCAACGCAGAACTTCGTACGTAAGTACATCAGTTCACGTTGCCATACCACATCAGAACAGAGACGCAACTGTCAGTTCCAATCCAAGAGTGATAGCAATAATAGAAATATTAGCAGTAATGGGGAAGATTAGGGAGCGAAGATATGATTCGAGAAGTATAATTCAGTGAGATAAATTTTTAAGGAGAAATATAGAGATTACGAGGAATTCAGAAGGTTAGAAATAAAAAGCACACAAAGGGTGGATGCACCTGTGCCACTGAAAACGATTTCGAGCCATGTCGTTCAAGGTCTCTAACCATTGGCGGCTTTCGTCTTGCGTACCCCAATCAGATAACTTGCATCTACCAACATGACTCAGTCCACTTGTCAGTGACTTCATGGGTTTGTGCCATGTTTAGGTTTGGCCGCCCCTAACTTTCTTCCAACCTACTCCCGTATCACAAAACATAGCTCGTCGAGGCAGCTGGTGGTTAGGCATACGTAACTTATGTCCCAACCAACTCAACTGATGAAGTTTCAATACTTCATCCACTGATTTGCCATCCCTGACAAGTGCATGTATTAACTGGAATTAAATCTTTTTAGCGGTAAAATGCAAGCTTTACCTAAACCGACTTTGGTTTATGAACGTATTCTGCAAAAAGACAACTTTCGAATATGAATTAGATACTTAATATACTTTTGTTTTTGAGCTTTATTGGATTTCTTGTATCTAATGAAATATACTATGGAAGTATTTGATTTCTAGATCTAAGAATAATACATTGGAAAAATTATGTAGTGAATTATAAATTAGATTTGCTATAACAAATTTATCTATGAATAGCTTTCCCGTTGTTCAGTGTTTAATGCACGAAGAGACAGATGCTGGATGTATTAGTGATCTCATGGAAATATCCTTAAATTCACAGGCGAATAGAGGTTGAATTCTGTAGAATAAATAATTCCTCATGTTCACCATCATTAATTTGTTTTGCAATACATAAACATTTTAGGAACTCGAAAACTCGAAAACCTTCCAGTTGAAGATTTTGTCACTCTCTCTTGACTAAAGAGTGAATCGATTTTTCTCACTTATCATTATGTCGACTACATATGAAATTTGTAAGAAATGAATCATTTCTGATAATTTTTTTAACTCACTGTAAATAAGTATTCACCGTGACTGTAGATATACTATTAATTCTAAATTATTAACTACTGTCACAATAGCCTTATTTGTAACAATAAGTGACATGAAAGTGACCTGGCCAAATACTCAAAAGATTATCAATTTATGTGGGAAATTTAGATGAAGATTAAAAAGTGAGAAGTTAGATTTTATAATTCAAGTTAGAGTTTATTTTGTAACAAACCAACCATATTTATAATGTTTGAAACACTATTTAGCCATATAGTTGAATTGATTTCGTTCCGATTGAGTTTCTTGTAAAAAAAGTGGAAGAGATTGATATAAGTTTTAACAATTTTCATCAGTGATTTAGTGTTAATCTTACGTAAGTATGAAAACATTGCTTTTCTTTTCTTTTACTCTCTAACTTAATTGTACATCGTGCGACAGTTTATGCTTAACATGTGAATATAAGAATAACCTAATCTAAGTATAACCTAAATAGGAAATTATTCTTAGTAGTATGATGAAAGATAACATATTTTTCCACCAATCAGTGAAGGTTTAGTAATTATTTATGATTTTTATTAATAGCTTAATAGTTAAGCCAAAATAACATTTTGTAAATCTAAATAACCAATTTGAAAAAAAAGAATAATCCTGACATAATCTCCCACGACATTTAGTCAGCATAAAAAAACACTTTGTTGTATTGCTGAATGATTAGTACCACTATTGGAAAATTGTATACTGAGTGTCATTTTAATGTCAAAATCTAAATGAGTGATCAGACATACTGTTGTAGAAATACGGTTAGCAGCAGCCTAACATAACAGGTTGTTTTTATCTTTCCTATTTTGTTGATCATTTTAAGTTAAATCAAAGCAACATGAAATTATATTATATTAGGCATGACATGTGTTACACTGTAATCATTAATTGTTCAGTCAGCCGGGGAGATTATTTATTGGATTGTAAAGAAAATTTAACAACTCTCAGAAATCTATACTTTGACATAACTGGTTCAGGTAACCAAGTGAAGAAGGATTTCTCTTTGAAGTTTAAACGAAAGGATATTGTGTTTAGAATTTTTCTTTAGCACTAGCTAAAAATATCTGAAAATCTGTGAAAATCGAATAGACTATTCATTTTGATACAAAGCAGATATGTATAAGAAGAAACTTTAACTAATCATACACAAATATGATCAGCTTTAAAAAAGTAAGAACGCTGGCTGAACTAGTTACACAAAGTGATGATCATCCAATAATGCGCATTTACTGAAATTAAAAAAAAAGGTCATTTTAAATAAATTGACTAGTTTGATATAGTTATTGCTTAAAAGTTAAACGGCATGGATTTCGGTCACATAGAAATATCCCATCATGAACGAAGTATAATAATCATTGTATTAAATTTTGTCCACGTTCTACAATCATATATTCAAACTGATAATCCAAAAAGTAATCAAGTTGAAGGTTACATATATTGGCAAAATATACTTCGTCTTAACTAAACATTTGAATCACCAAAACGATATCAGTAATAAGATAGAGAATGAGCAGAATAGATTCTAAATATACTTAGAGATCAATAGATGATAATTTCATCAAGCTTACCGGAAACAATCAAGCTGATAGGTACTCATTTGCCAAGATTATACAACCTGCCAAAGATACAGAAACTCGATGTTTCCTTGATACCGATGCCGTACGTGCACACTTCCCCTAATTATACTACAGTAAACTAAGAACCATTTGACATGCACCTGGTGAAGCATAGCCATAAAGATATATTCTAGTATGTTGACAAGTTTTTAAACATAAACTTTAACAAAACGATGATGTTCATAGATGTAACATCACTGTTAAAAAATTACCTTCCCAGAAAGACTATTGAATGCATCTGTGAACAATTTAGAGAACAGAAAATAGAGACTAAGATTCCAAGTGGCATCAATACAACTATTACTCAAATGTAACATGAACATAAATTTCATATTCAATGAAGAAATATGTAGATATATAGATGATTTAACTGGGTAGTCTTGTATTAGCGGACATTATTTGTTTCACTAAACTAAATGACGGTTCGCTGACACAAGGTATCGGCAAATTTGAATTTCATCCCCAATATATGGATGATATGTTTATCTTTGTATAGATCATGCTGACTGGTTACAAACTCTTAAGAGATATAATGAATTTTATCGTGAAAAAGACAGAATTAGAATAACTTTTCCAAATGTTTCATTTACAAAGACCGTAGATGGAACACTAAGAAAGAATGTACACAAGAAGAGCACATTTTTTTTCTCAGTTCTGTTATCCTACAATTATAAAACCAAATTGCAATATAGAATCAATACATTGTGTTGCATAGATGCTGTTGCAGAACAAAATAAAACACTGCGCACCACTTTGAAATAAAATAGGTGTTTTGAGAAATTCATAACTAAACATATAATCATGAAAATAATTCAAAACAAAGTCCTAACTATTGCCCGAATATCTCGGTATACTTACTTACTTACGCATGTTACCCACAATGGAGCATGAGCTGCCCACCAGTTTTCTCCAACCTACTCTGTCCTGAGATTCCATTTCCTGTTCTTTCCAGTTTTTGTTCATTCTTCTCATATCTTCCTATATTTCTCGGCGTAACGTGTTCCGTAGCCTTCCTCTTTTCCTTTCACCTTGAGGGTTCCATGTGAGGGTTTGTCTCGTGACGCAGTTAGGTGATTTTCTCAGTGTGTGTCCTATCCACTTCCACCGCTTCTTACTGATTTCCACCTCCACTGGAATCTGGTTCGTTTTCTCCCACAGTACGTTGTTGCTGATGGTGTCTGGCCAACGAATCGGAAGTATTTTGCGTAGACGAGTGTTAATAAACACTTGTATATTCTAGATGATGCCTTTCGTAGTTCTCCAAGTTTCCGCTCCATACAGTAGAACTTTCTTCACATTTGTATTGAAAATGCTGATTTTGGTTTTGGTTGGTTGGTTGTTTGTAGTCCCAGATATTTTTCAATTGTAGAAATGCAGCCCTTGCTTTGCCGATCCACACCCTCACATCTGCATTGGATCCACCTTTCTCGTCGATGATGCTGCCCAGATATGTAAAGGCGTTAACGTCCTCCAA